CAATCGCACAAACATATTACAGTTACCATTTCAATTTAGAAAAGGCTTCAAATGTCTTGAGTCTATAACGGCTCGTCTTAATTATACACTTTACTGTTATTACAAAATAATCAACAGCTAAATGATTTTAATAAATCGTTTTATTAGAGTTTGAAAAATGACACTAGTTACAGAACACAATTCTACAACACGTTTTAATGACCAAACAGCTAGACATATCACATAATCATGTATAGACAGTCACAAGTAAAGTGAGTATAAAGCACACGTGAACTATACTATTATCTCAATACATTCAGGCGCCATGGTATATATCAGGGGTCTCCAAACTTTTCAGCTCGAGGGCCGCATTAACTATAAAATACCAGTTCGGGGGCCAGTTCCTTCCAAGCATCTCTTTGGGGTGTCGGACCCCCCCCCCCCCACCTTCCTTGAAGAACGTCTACCCCCCTCCCAATGAATTATAATTTATATAGAAATATATACAAATTTAAAGTCTCTGAACTATCTATTGTTGAGCCTATGTGACCTTATTAAATTCACAATCTTCACCACAGGATTCAGTACACTGCTAATTTCCATATATTTAGCACACAAAGCTTGCTGGTGAATAATACAGTGCAGGAACATAGGCTGTAGAATGTTTTTCTCGTTCACTTGCCCAACAAAGCCTTTCTTTATGCCACTCATGTACTTTCCTCCATCAACAGTCAGGAAACTGAGGTTTGTCCAGTCCAAGTTATAATCAGCAAATGTTTTTTTTACTAAGTGAATATACCCTCTCCGGTAACAGTGCAAAACATGTTTTGTAGGGAAGCCAGCTCTTGTGTTATGTTCATGTCTTCTTCCACACCTCTAATGAGTACAAGCAGTTAAGAGGTGGAACAGCTGTCCAGCGACTCATCCATTGCAATTGAAAAATGGCGAAACTTGCTTACGTTTTTCGCTATTTGAGTCACACTGTTTTCACCAATTTCTGCAACATGGCGGGCAATTGATTTGAGTTTTCTTGGCATAGTTTTTTCAGCCACCTCCAACAATCATTTTTTTTCCCGTGGACAAAATGATCTCCGCGGGCCGGATGAGAAGACCTCGCGGGCCGCATCCGGCCCGCGGGCCGTAGTTTGAAGACCCCTGGTATTATAATTGGACTGATGAATTCTATTGATTTTCATCCTATAATGTTTACTAAAACGAACACGAAAAAGCAAAAAAAAAACATAACTACAATAGAATATATGACTACCATTTACACACACACACACACGCTCTCTCTCTCTCTCTCTCTCTCTCACACACACACACACACACACACACAAACTTACTAAAATGTCACAAACAGAAATTTGTTGATAAATCCCTGGTAGAAAATGATGTTGCTTGATGTTAAGCGGCAGTTATTTTCACAACAGCCTATAGTCATAACAGATGTGGTTAAAGCATTTTAAAAAAAATATTTCCCTTTTTGACGAATTCACATTTTTTTTAAATAAAAAAAAATGAACACACCTAAATACAAAATAACAATAATTACACATTAGATTTATAAATATACGAGCCGACCCGCGGCATATCATACGCCGCTATTTAGTTGTTTTATTTTCTACTTTTCAGTAATTCATAATTTGTGAATTCGACAGTACCAATGCTGCCACTGAAAATATTTGCTTTAAAACACTATCAGTAGGTTGTTAAGGACGATACTACACCCACCCTCTTTTCCCCCAACCCCTACCCTACACCCCCCCCCCTCGTGGAAAGCAGCCTCCTCTTAGTTACCTCACCATAGTTTAAAATAGTTTCAAACTAAATTATCTGCCCCTAATAGCCGTCACTAAACCCGGCTCTTTGATTAATGTAAACATTTAGCGTGAACACAACTCACCAGACCATGTAGGGGTGGGGAGGTAGGGAGCGCTTACAGCTTTTTTTCTAGCGTCTCCCAGAAGAGAATTATATATATATAGAAGATATTATAATTTTATAAATCTATATGTTATTAAAAAAAACAATTAACGGATGAAATTATACTTATGAAATTACGAATTGTACAGTTGGTGTTGATTTTTCATATTTAAAACGGTAAGTTTTATTAATTTTTCCAAGTGAAAACAAATAATGTAATATTTTTGTCACGTGGATAATATATAAGAAAATATACTTTAGAAAAAAGTAGATGCATTGTTTTTACAGAATAAGAGAGTAAATCCAACGTTATTATGAAGATACTAAAGTAGCTATTAAAAAAATTATGTGACAATTAAGGATAAGTAGGTTCGTTTAAATTTAGAAAATGTTCAAAATATGGAATGATGTAAAGACGAATGCATCAACTGAGTTTCGAGTTTTAGAGTATGACTGGCCAAGGTGCTGTCTCTGCTGCAGCCCTAGGTTATCCTGCAGCTGTTGGTGGAACATGGGCGGCAACTCTCTGGCGTTGAACATGAACGCAAACTGTAGTTAGCGCTAGATTGACTTTACTTTTCCTAACGTGAGCTATCACCCGTCAGAGCTGGGAGAGCTCATGTAAGTCCTGAGTAGCCAAGTATCTGTTCTCAAGAACTTCGGATTAACAGTCGTACGCTCTACCATTCGACCGCGTTGTTCCAGTGCGCGTGCATTTGGGCGAGTATATTTGATGACTGACTAATGATATAAATTCAAAAACGTGTATTCTCAATTGCAAATGCATATTTTTTTAAAAGTAAAATAAAAAAACAATCTTACCCTTACTCTTCATATTAGCTTCAAAACTTTACTTACATGATGTCAGTGTTAGATGGGTTAGGAATATCTATAACTGTAACAACAGGTTGAAGCTCATGTTTTAGTTATTTTTGAGTGTAAAAAAGACTCTTTTGCTCTCGGTGGTCAAGGTTGTTATTGCAATTAATAAAGGGATATAAAGGGATATCGTTTTTAAGTTTTGTAATTCCAATCAAAATCTGAAATAAAAATAATAAAACAAATGGAAGTGCAAGAATTATATATATATATATATATATATATATATATATATATATATATATATATATATGTATATATATATACATATATATATATATATATATATATATATATATATATATATATATATATATATATGTATGTATATATATATATATATGTAAGTGTGTGTGTAATTGCGAAAATATGGTTATTGTGGAAAAAGTAAGGTGTGAGGTGAAGAGTTGTAGTAATGTAGCAGTTTTTCTTCTTTTACCTACATATCTCAGAAATAACTGGATACTCAACTGGTTACAAAACAAAAAAAATAGCTTCAGAACAAAAGCGTTGAAAAATTACTGTCCCTCAAAATATGAACACAGCCACATAATACTCGTTTTAAAACGTAACGTTTTTAAAATCATTTCTATACTAACATTTACGTTTGCTACAAGCACCTGATTTTAATCTTTTAACCTTCTTCGATTAGTTATACATCAAAATACCATTCTTGTCTAACCAGTTATTAAAGAGGTATTCAATCGATAGTTTATCGATTAGCGTGCACAATACCCGCGGGTAGGTCATACACTGGTGGGTGGCATTGTGTATAGTGATATTTATAGATCATGTAGCTGCCGAATTTACGTGTCATGTTTTAATTGTAAATTTATTAAGGACATTTTGAAGAAACTCACAGTAAGCTGCCACTAGGTACTGTTGTTTGGTCATGATATGACCAAAAGTAGTTAGACCCTCCGTTTAATATAAGCTTTTGTTTAGTTCTTTTGCCTGTTCGTTTTTCTTTATTTTTCTTTTTGCTTAGTTATTTAGTGGATCTAGGCAAATAATGTAACTCAATCTCGACCTACTTCTTAAACAGTGATTTCGTTTAAACTTTACATATACATTAGGGAACAGCCTGGTACGATAGTAGAGTGTGCAACTGTTTTCACGACAGACTCAAGTTCGTATCCCGGGTTATTGTCCGTAGGATGTCTTAGAATCCATCTGATTCGAAATGGTACCAGATTCACGTTAAGGAAAGTAATAACTGCTGGGCATAATGCTGAACGCACTATTCTATCAAATGTCGAGGTAACTGAATGCACAGCTTCAAGTACACATTTTTATTTCATTCTACTCTGAACTCTAAAATGATGCCTAACATAAATTGTATGTGATCTTGAAAGGCAAAACAACAAGAATATACATCTACTCAGTAAATTTCATTTAAAAACATTTTTCATGCTTCTTTACATTCTTATAAACTTTATTTTGGTAATGTTTACAATTACAGTTCTACAATTTAAAACACCATATTTACGTGCCGAAAAAAGTTGATTTTAAAACCATACAAGCCAAAGAAATTTTTCTTCCCCATGAACTTGCCTGGTGTAAGACAATATTAATGAATTCACTAATGTAAACAGTATTTTGTGAAAGGCCGGTCACGTTAATCATTGTCAAACATGCATGGCTTCATATCGACGAAGGAATTGTTTTGTCTTAAAATAAAAGCTACGTAAAAAGTAAGTAATGGCTTATGTAGATCAATGGTAATTATAGTTTCCTTTATATAGATATTTAAAAAGTTGTTTTGATGTGTCGAGGAAAAAGTAGAGCATTGACGAGTAAATGTTTAATGTGTGTTTGATTTTTTAAAGAAATACGTACCTACACATCAATTAAACAAATAAAGGTGGAATGCTGATTATTCAATTACAGTTAAAATATCATGGAAAGTAAATGTGTAAAATAGTTAAAAACAATGGATGAAAATAAAGTTTTAAAATTGAAAATTACAATTTTTTTTGTCGATATATTATATTTAGTCGATTTTAGACATAAATGAAAATGCGCAACATTGTAAAATAAGTGACATTATACATAGTACAAATAGAAAACTGTAGAAAATGTATGCACCAATAAAGGATTGTGTATAACAACAAAGAAGGTAGCTTAATATAGAAATGCATTTTAACAGATGTACATATTTATAGCAGTTGTTTTAAATACAAAAGTGGGATTTTAAAAAAATTAGCCTAAGTAGAATGGAAACAAATGTCACAAAAAGTTTGCCTAACTCTGTTTTACAAGAAAATTTCTCTTTTGAAGTAACTGTGCTCTGTATGTGTAGGGGTGTCGTTTCTTTTCTTGGTCTTATTGGAGATTTCTTGACGATTTGGACATTTCTGGCCATGGGACCTAAAGATGGCGTAACTCTTTCATTTTTGTTACTCTCTGTCTCAGATATCTTGTATCTTCTCTGTATGACAATTTCATCAATCTCTTACATATTTATAAGCATCGAACTGATGACATCATTTAAGATATATTTTCCTGTGGATCCGTATGGGATAAAGACCTATATATCAAACTGTGGGGGAGATTTTTACGCCAGCACAATGCTTACCCTAACATTTCTGTCCATTTGTCGCTGTCTAAGTGTCGCCAAACCTCTGTGGTTTAGACATAAACTCGGGACAAAAAGAATTTCAGTTATGTTTTTCTCAATCAGTGCTGCGTTTTGTTTAGGAACAAGTGTTCCCATCTTAGCTCTGATGGGGATAATACCGCTCTATGACGCCAGGATCAACACCACAAGACCTTCGTTGTGGATTTCACCAGAAAGGAAATGGGTGACGTATATCGTCTGGCCAGTCAGAGGATCCTTGCTTCCACTTATCGTTCAGGTTATTCTAATCATTACTTCTGTGGTAATGACTAGATTCCTAAAATCAGCCTTGACATTTCGTCAGAAACACACTTCATCATATTTAGCATCTACTCAATCAGCTCTGTTTAAAATTGACGATACAACAAACAACGACAAAAGTTTTTCAAAGGAGAAGAACAAGTTAAGCGGCAAGCAACTTCAGATCATCAAACAAATGATTATCCTGTCTGTGGTGTTTATCGTCAGCTGTACACCAAAGATGATGTTCAATGCTGCCGTCTTTATCTATCCAGAATTTTCTATTAACGGGAAATATGGTAGACTTTATGAGACAGTCAGCGCAGTAAGAGAAGCATTTCAAATGCTGTATTCGTGTTCCAATGTTTTCATTTACTACACCTATAATTCCAAGTTCAGAGATATGTTTAGGAGAAAATTTGCAAGAATTATTTAGATTGTGTTTAATCGTATTTTACTGGACTAGGAAGGGCCTATGTGTCAATTATCTAGTTAACCAACTAACAAGAATAATGTGATGTTTAGTAAAGTAATATTAACATACAAACATTTTAAACAAAGACGTTTTTAAAAATTGTTTTATTGAGGAAAATATACGGTATTTCAAGACAAAAGCGTTGACGAACTAACTGTTTGTTAAAAGAAAACTGTTTAGCAAAATTAAAATGATTATACAACCACGTAAATTTAGAAAGTATATCAATAGTGACTGAATCGTATAGGCCTATATAAATATATCAATAATGAAGAACCAACATAAACATCGTAAACATAGGCCTACTTAGGGAGACTAAACAGCTGATGTAAAGTCGCATACATGAACATGACTGAAAGAAACATGTAGAACTACAAAAACAAACAGGCTAAACTTACTATATGATTCGAACAACAGGTCAGAATTGAAACAACACATTTAAGAATGCGTGCACAATTCCTGCAGCGTACATTGTTTTGCTGTTCATTTTTCTGTGATCTAAACAGTTATCAATAAATAACATTATAGTTGGAAAACTAAAGCAATGGAGTGCTGCTTGTCTTTTCGAACCGGACTTGCTATAAAGCACCCAGGATAAACCAATTGATTATTTAATGCAGTCTATAGATGCGAGTAAACAAGTATAAAGGACGCAGAAACAAAATTGGTTGTTCTGAAGTTTATGCGTTTCACATATATAGTAGTGGCTTTTCTGTTGTGTAAAATACCATTATTCTAATTTTACAATTGGATTGAACTTCTTACGTGTTTAATGATCAGGCATTGGTTTTTCTTTTTTTTTTACTTTTTAAATTGTCTGCGATATTTTGAGTTATATTTATAGTATACAAATATATTAGTGCTAGAGTTGATGACTTGAAAAGTGTCCCTCAAACATTCTAACAAATTGATGAACAAACCACTCGTCCTCTCGAGGGTATACGCCGGTAGGAAAATTTTCGTTGTGTTGAATACGGCCTTTGGTAAGTTGCAGACGATAAAAATTGTCGTGATGATGAACGTCTGCTGGATGGCGTGGAGTTCTCGGTTGACGTCTTTCGTCTTATGGATGTCGTCATCTTTGAGGTGTGGATTGCCATGAAACGTGTGGTTGTTACGGAACTTAAGAGAGTTTTTCAGCTGATGCGCCATGGTGCCAGCACTGATGATCATTGCAACTTGCGTGGTGACTGGGAGTAGAGAGCCGAGGAATGGGTGAACAACAGACACAACTTGTTTTGTATACGAAGCAAAACACAGCGTCTGTCTTGTCGCGTTGAATCGATCGTCGAACATCTCCTTCATGTCTAGAATAACAAAAAATGGTATGTACGCCATCACAACAAAGGAAACTATGACAGATACAGTAACCGTTGTTGTTGTTTTGGTGAAAGAATTTCTAAAATAAATTGGTTTAGCTACACACAGGCATCGAACCACTGCCATGTACGTTACTGTCAACAGGGTTATACAGTACATCATGCTGGCTAAACTAGAAGAATAAAAGTTTACTCCGTAAGGATCTATGGAAAAATAAATTCTGAAATCTGTAATTTCCTCGATGATAAACAAAACGTAACTTACAGTAGCGACCAACATACAACACAAGTAAATAAAATCAAAAATTGAAAGCAGCAAAAATGTTATGGTCATTCCATCGCTGACCCCAATTTTTACAAATATTCGAATAGAAATCAAGTTCCCTATAGCACCTAACAAAGACATCAATGCGTTTGTTAGTGACACGGCACTGATGACGAATAAAAAATCGATTTCGTCTTGAGATTTGCGTTCCCCCATTTTGGATTTGTTTTTGCGATGTTTTTGGAAATAAATGTAACAAAAGTTTCGTATAAACAATTTATTTTATTTGTAGATGCTGAATGTTTGTTGACCCAGTTTGCAGATTACATGTTTTTCAGGCAATTTTTAAAATTTTATTTTGATTCTTAACGCTAACAAAGTTTTCAAAATATTAATTATTATTGGAAACAACAAAATATAGAAAAAAAAATTAAAGAATAAAATACATCAAGTAATAGAATCAAATTACACAAAAACTAACCAAATTGTAATCATCGGTAATAGCAAGCAAATTATGTTTGCGAAGAATTCTTGATCGTCATCAGTAATTTACGATTAACGTGTGATCTTAAATGTCAGGAATTTAAAAGAGAAGAACAAACCTTATCTACATTATAATAATTATAGTTAAGGTTATTTTCATCACAATTCGTAAATATCACGTGATTGGATTAAACTGTTGTCTTTCTTTTGGACTTTCAAATTTGAAAGATTGCTTAAATTTTCTTTCTGAATTGTAAATGGGTTTTAGTGCCAGTAGCTGCAGATGTACATTGTAATTGGTGAAAAAATTTTTAATTAGAATTCATTGTTTAAAACGGCACACTTTATTAAATGTTCAATAGGTTAATTTTAAAAAAAAATAAAGATTGACGATTCGATGTATACTTTAGTGCAGTTATCAATTTACACACACACACACACACGCACACACATACATACACATACACACACATACATACATATATGTGTGTGTTGTTACGTATCATTTGTGAGTTGAGTTTAACCTTATATAATCGTATATTGTTATCCCAAGGTCGAATGTGTGTATCAAAGTTTAAAAAGTGTGTAAATGATTATGAGGCGGGAGGGTATGTGTTTAGGTAGTAGGCAGGAGGTTCTAGACGGCTTGTTTAGCTGGACATGAGAACAAAAAGAGTTAAAACATCGTCGGTGTTTGAAGTTATTTGACTATAATAACTGGTGACAAGTAAGAAAGCAGAACCATCATCGTTGTGATTGTTCTCATTGTATGTCGTTGTCTGATGCTGTCCCATAGCGGTTGCCTGATGCTGTCCCATAGCCGTTGCCTGATGCTGTCCCATAGCCGTTGCCTGGTGCTGTTCATTTGCCTAATGATGCCCTGTTGCCGTTGCTGAACGCTGTCCTGGTGCCATTGTGTGATGCTGTCCTGTGGCTGTCAGATGCTGTCCTGTTGCCAGATGCTGTCGTATTGTGGTTGGCCTATGCCGATAGCCTGATGCTGTAGCTGTTTAACCTAGTATGAAACAACATCGCCTTTTGCGTTGTAAGTAGGTTGTGTGGTGTAAAAAGTTTGTGAGATTTTAGAGAGTCATAAAACACATGGTGGCTAGAGATAGGGAGCACTAACGGCAGACTCAATAGTGTTGTGTTGTAGAAAGTTCAGATAAGGGAGAGAGTCATAGGCCAGTGTAGCGAGAGAAGACTCAATATTGTTGATTGTTGTGAGGAAGGAAGTTTTAAGATTCGGTACCAGGCCAAAGGATGCGTATCAGTAGCGTAGCGAGGGGCGGGGGCGGGGGGACGTATGTCCCCGGGCGCCGACCTAAGGGGGCGTCAAAATGGGTTGGAAAAATAAATTGAAAGGTTGAGGGGGGGGTGCAAATTGAAAGGTTTGGGGGGGGGATGCAAATCGAAATCTTGAGGGGGGGGGGGTGCAAATCGAAATGTTTATCCCCGGGCGCCGGGAAGGGTCGCTCCGCTGATGAGTATGATTTGTAACCCCGCACTAATGTAACGTGCTTGACCAAAATTAAGAAACAAGCTGTATTATATCGCGGGAATGCGTGCTTGTTTGCTTTTCTATGTTTGGCTGAATGTTATTTGCTAAAAAAAAAAAAAAATTCTGACTCTTTTTACTCAGTCGAAATAATTCAATTTACATTTTTATTTTCTAAATGTTTAAATGAGACGCTATGTATTTTATTGAAATTTTAAAATGTGTTCGCATACATTCTATGAAATGTACATTTTAAAATTGTGGATTTTGTACCATGTGAATGAAAGGCTTTTTTTGTTAGTTTAGCATGAAATTGGTAGTCAGTATTACAAGTACAAATACTTGGTTGGGGGTAGTTGTTACTGGTAACTGCATTAGAATAGTCCAGAACGGGTAATGGTGTGGGTGTGAGTTGAGTTTAACACAGTGATTCTACGTTGAGTTATCCCGAGGTTGGATTTGGGTTGTGTGAGCGATTGTGAGGGACGGTGTGCGGTTAGGTAGTTTGTGTGGGAGGGTGGGGGTTTGTTGGCGGTTTGTGTTACAGGACATGCACTAAAAGGGAGTAAACATTTTTGTTGTTCGGTGCTGTCGAAGTTCTTTAATTCGTCATTTACCGTCTCTGTATGGGTGTGTGTGTGTCTGTGTGTATGTGTGTGTATGTGTGTATGTGTGTATGTGTGTGTGTGTCTGTGTGTATGTGTGTGTGTATGTGTGTATGTGTGTGTGTCTGTGTGTATGTGTGTGTGTATGTGTGTATGTGTGTATGTGTATGTGTGTATGTGTGTATGTGTGTGTCTGTGTCTGTGTGTATGTGTGTGTATGTATGTGTGTGTGCTAGATAGAGACAACGAGAGAGCGGGTGGAATGATTTAAATTTTTTTTTTTTTAGTTTTGCGAATCGTTTTCGGTACTGATGTTGTCTGATTGCTACTTCTGCCCTTGTTGGTATTTTAAGCCGACCAGACGGGAGACTTGACTTTTCTTTGACTTGGAATGAACGACGTAAGTATGTATACAGAGATCCAGAGGCGTCACTAGGCGAGGGCGGGTCGTGCGGACCGCACCGGGTGACTCCATTTACGGTGTTGACACCAACAGAAAAAAAATGAAAAAATTAAAAATGTTTCGTAGAAAAATGCTTTTCGCCATCTTAATTAATGATTAATTAGAGTTAAAAAGTCCTATCAAGTGCAAATCAAAGATTTTGATATAGGGGAGGGGGTGACACCTGGACGTAAACCTGCTCAATTATTGAGAAAACAATTTTTCATATAACTATATCACATGGACCTTTAAATATATATATATATATATATATATATATATATATATATATATATATATATATATATATATATATATATATATATATATATATATATATATAAACTGA